TGAATAACTTAAAGCTCCCTTTGACCTGTTTCTATAGTCAATTAAGCAGTCTGTGTGTGTTTCCCATCCTGGAAATCACAGGAAGTGGTGCAAAGGACAGTAGGAGCAGCCAACAGTTGTACTCAAGGTGGTAGTAAGAGCGGCAGTCAAAGCAGACATAGAAATACTTATATTCAATGGCTTTGCTAATATTTGAGTATCATAATATTTATAACTAAGTGCTTTTATAAAGTAAATAAATTACTTATTCACACAATCAAGAAAATCTGTAATGCCTGGCACATAAAAGGCACTTAATCCACATCTGGTGAGTAAACAGGGCTTTTTAAAATTTTTCCATTTTCAACCCCTTTTCACCTCAGAAATTTGCAACTTACACAAGCTGCCTGAAAGACCTTGGCTTCGTTATACATTTAATTTTGAGTTACATTGTGGTTGTTGTGCATTCAGAAGCCCTTCAGTGTCGCTAAATTTTTGAACCACCCCCATTCAGATAAGACCCTATGTGGGGTCAAGAGCCACCGTTCAAGTTTCAGAAATGCAACTAGAAAAAGAGTTCCTTTGTCTCAAAGGATGACTAACAAGCTTATGAAAATTCAGTGACTCAAAAAATTTTTATTATGCTTCCTGATGAACCTTGATGACAATGTATCTATCTATTGTGACAAAAAACATTGGTCGATGGTCTATTGTGTTACACACCTGTCTCTTTCCTGGTAGCAACCACCTCATCGAGCATCATTATTTCAGAAGTGTTTCCCTATTGTTTCCTCAAAGGATTAGGAACTTTTGAGAACTATTACTAAGTGAACCAGGAAATATATATATATATGTATATACGTATGTATGTATGTAATAAAAAGTGCTTGTTCAGTGAAGTTAAATAATATCATCAGTACTCTGTTAGGGGAGTTTGTGATAGATTAAAAACTACTAGAAATAATGCTATAAAGATTGATATCTTGCTCTGGTAAAGTGGCTCTGAGTTTTACATTTGAGCATAGACTATTGATTTGTGAATTAAACAACATTTCAAGCACTCTGATGATATTTAAGTGTATTTCACAAAGTACTAGGAAGAGATTCATTCCCTTGCTTATTCTGTTCCTTGCTGGGTTTCTCTTTGAAATATTATGTTACGTTCCAGTTCTAAGGAAGACACTATTTAATCTGTATGCTGAGCAAATAAGCTGAGAAACATGAAGACTGATGTGCTATCAGGATTGAAGGCTTATTAACAACCTGCAATACGCAGATGACACAAATCATATTTGCCGAAAGTGAGAAGGACTTGAAGTACTTACCGGTGTAGATCGAAGCCGCCAGTATGCCTTACAACTCAACATAAAGAAAACCAAACTCCTCACAATTAGATTACTAGGTAACATCATAAGTGAAAAAAAGTTCAAAGTTGTCAAAAGTGTCATTTTATACAATGTTTAAAAATATGATTAAATCTTTGAATTGTGTGATATGTGAATTATATGTCAATAAACCTGTTAAAATAATTTCGTTTTCCTTGGATTCACTCTCAATGCACATGGAAGTAGAAGTCAAGAAATCAATCGACATATTGCACTGGGTTTATCTATACCTCACAAGACCTCCTTAGAGTGTTGTAGAGCAAGGGTGTCACTTGAAAGACCAAAACTCAAGCCGTGGCATTTTCTTTTTAACAACTTTACTGGCATTTAATTCACATATCATACAACTCAATAGCCCAAGCACACTGAGGAGACTTGTATAATCATCACCACAATCAATTTTAGGACATTATCTTCTTTCTTGTACTTATTGCTATTTCCTCCCCTTTTACCTCCAACCCTCTCCTGCCATACTCCCAAGCAACTATTAATCCAGTTATTGTCTCTATAGATTTACTTATCCTGAATTTCATCTACAGAAAAACATATTTTAAAATAGACAAAAATAAAAAGTAAAACAGATGAAAAACCCAAATGAAAAGAAAGGAGAAAATATTATAAAGTAGAGCAAATTTGAAATGAGTCAAAGGGAAATCAAATGTTAAGGTGTTAAAGTTTTATCTAATGGCATCTGCAATAATTCACTTTCCAAAATATCATGATATGATAGCAAGGTTAGTCACACCTCTGCTCTATGGTAGGAGAGGGTTCACCAGAGGCTTAATCCATGTTTTTCCCCCTTTTTTTAAAAAAAATGAAGTAACATTAAAATGGGCCCAAAGGGAAATCAAATAGTAAGATATTACATTGTAACCTAACTACATCTGCCATAATTAACTTTATAATCAAGCCATGCATTTTCAAACTCCTCATAAGGGTATGAAAGGTAGACAATCGATAAGGAAGAGTTCATGCATTTGAATTATGGCATGAAGAATATTAAAAATACCAGGGGCTACCAGAAGAACAACCAAAACTGTCTTGGAAAAAGTGCGACCAAAATGCCCCTTCGGAAACTTTGTCTGATGTACGTTGGCATGTTATCAGGTGAGACAAGTTCCTGGATCAGAACATATGTTTGGTAAAGGAGAGAGTCAACAAAAGAGAAGAGCGTCAAGGAGATAAATACATTGCCATGAACAAGGGTCGGGGATTACCTGTCACTTTTTTTTTAGCCAAAGACAGAGACCAGGTTGATTCAATAAACATTAAGCACATTCTGCAAGAGTGAGACAGACGGAAGCCAAAGGGTTTGCTACCTCCAGAGAGCTTCAAAAACCCAGTGAAAGTTAAGCCAATCTCCAACAGATTGCCATAATGGGCTCAAAAATAACAATTGTGTGGCTGGCACAAGGCGGAACAGTGTCAAGTGCTGTTGTCCATAGGGTCAATGAGAGTTGGAATTGACTCAATGACACCGAACAGTAACAATTTTCAAATGAAGCTTTTCCTTTAGGTTTGCTACTTAGAAGGATTGGAGGAAAAGTGAGGAGGACTTGAAGCACTTGCTGATGAACATCAAGGATTGCAGCCTTCAGTATGGTTTACAACTCTATGTAAAACAGACCGAAATCATCACAACTGGACCAACAGGTAACACCATGATAAATGGAGAAAAGGTTGAAGTTGTCAAGATTTTGTCCTGCTTGGACCCACAACAAATGCTGTGTTAGTCCAAGTACTCTAGAGAAACAAGTTCAAGAAACTCTTATGTGTATAAGAGAGAGCCTTATATGAAAAAGTAATTGGATATTAAGACAGCATCCCAGCCTAGTCCAGATCAAGTCCCTTTGTCTGACATTAGCCCATATGTCCAGTACCAGTCTTTAATTAGCTCTTCATACTCACACCAACACACGCAATGATGCAGAGTGCAGGAAGATCACAGGCCAATGGGTGGAAAGTCTTGTGGATCCAGTGGTGGAGGAAGCATCTGAGCACTGGTGTGGGTCTCTACGTGGCCCCTCCAGCTCCAGGTCACTGGCTCCATCAGTGTAGCTCCACGTGGCTTGTCAACAAGAATGTCTCACAGGGAGAGTATATCTGGCCTCCAGTGAGCTATTTATCTC